AGGAGTCCGCTAGTGATCCGTGACTGTTTACGACGAACACAACATTTATCCATTATTTTGATTTCAAATCCAAACATTGTCACTGAAAATGCTTTTTCAGCATTGCAATTCTTTTTTTACACAGTACAGTAATACAATCTTTCACAGACATGTTTAAACACAATAAATATAAGCAACACATTATTCAATGCTTTTTACTTTTGCATTTACTTCTCGATTTATATATTAAGTTGCTCAAGCAAGTGGCAAAACATTTACACTACTTTTCTTATGTTATCACAAACTTACCATTGACAGAAATAGTCAGCTCTACTGCCTTTCCTTTTGCGTTTAAATCTTTATTACAAGCAATCCTGCGGTTCATAAAGAACTTTGTTTTCCTACCTCCACGAGTGCCATCTATTATTGCCTTGTTTATCTAAAAGTGCTCTTTCCCTTTAAACCCAGCCAAAAAGCCATATGTGTTGACTTTAATAATATGCATTTATGGTGTAATTACTATATTTTCGTGTCAATCCATGTTCATATTTACTGCAAACAATGCGCTGTTACTTTAATTCAGCGCTTGCAGCGACTCGGTGCGGAAACGATCTCTGCACTGCTGCAGACGCACCACTCCTAGAGCGCACTGCCGGACCGCAACCTTGTGCGGTGAACGCAATCCTTTAAAATGAGCGCGGAAAAAATACGCACCACGTATGCACTGCAAATGGAGTAATGTGAACCTGGCATTAGCCTATGTGTGTGCGTTGCGAGTGTGCATGAGTGCACGGTCTCCAGGAGAGCGCGCGAGCGCTGAATGGTTAAACACTGGCAAGAATTACAAAGTAATGAAATTTATAAACTTTAGTGACGATGTGACACTGCCTCGATTGTGCAAGTGACAATTCCTGTGTCAACTGTGCAGCTTGCAGCTCACTTATAGACAGACGCGATGTGTGGTGATTTAAGCCATTTGCGTATTTTGAGAGAGAAAGAGAGAGCGCGCGATTCTCTCACGAAGTTTGTGAAATTACGTCTCACACAAGGTTTTCAAATTACTTTATAAGTTATTTAATGAAGAAATATGAAGGTGAGTAGGCTACCTCACCTTCAGCATTATAATTATTCAACCGCGCCGGACAGAGACTGACTGTGCCGCTGTGCCAAACCTCTCACGGCAGCGTCATCAACTTGAGATCGGCCTTTTTAGAGACCGCTGATCAATCATCCCAACATGATTATCAGCCGATAGTGATCGGTAGCCGATCAATCGGAGCACCCTAAAGTGTGGCATAATAAAAGCTCCGTTGCTTTTGAGCCGTGTGTAGCAATTGCTTCAGCAGGCCTCATTTCACTTCAACGGCTTTCCGCCTCACTCTGCTTCATACTACGATGTTAATAAATCTTTAATACATTAGCTCATCCATGAACATGATTTCTGCCCGAGTCCCATCGGATTGCATCGACTGTGGGGATGAAGACGACAACTCCCATTATTCCACACTCAGTCATGGTGTCATCAAACTATGCCTTTGTTTCTTTGTTTGTTTTGAATACGCCCCCTCTAGCGGCGAAAACTTACATATTGTACCTTTAAGGGATTTTACTTGATTTTATTTATTAAGCTATTTAATTTTATTTTTTATTTAATTGTCAGACCCCAGTTTAGCCAACCCTGAATTAGTGTCATGTTATGTGTGAAATATAACATTAATTAAGACCTAAATAGTAAGTGCGGTTGTGTGTTTGTTGGCTGCCTGCAGGTGAGAAGCCATACAGGTGTTCGTGGAATGGCTGTGAGTGGTGCTTCGCTCGAAGTGATGAACTGACCAGGCACTTCAGAAAACACACCGGAGTCAAACCCTTCAAATGCAGCCACTGCGACAGGTGAGTGTGTGTATTATCAGACACAGTGTTTCAAACAGATTTTGAGCTATACATAATCATTTTTGTTTTATTTTCAGGTGTTTCTCTCGTTCTGATCATCTGGCCTTGCACATGAAGCGACACATCTGAACGCAAATCCCAAAGACCTGCCACCGCTGGTTTTCTATGTATTCGCTGAGTGTCAGTGTTGCAGATTTTGCACCTTCTTGCTAAAGATATAGTTTCAGCAGAACATGGGTAATAGCATTTTTTTATCCTATGCTGGTGACATTTGACTTATTCAGTTCAAGTTAAAGCATAGCTATAAAGGCACTGAAAAGGCAGAAAGTCTGGTACTGAATGTAAGTTAGCATATTTGCAGACTTTGCAAATTGCAGTGAATATATGTCAAAATCAGTCAAAATCAAAAATAATATTTTGCTAACTAACACTTTGCATTAACACACGGAAAACTCTGCTTTACTGCACAGCTAACTTGTTTATATCCAGAGCAGCTAAGTGTCCATGTAGCTTTGAGATAAAAGTGTTTATTGCTGTTTATTACACTCGCAGATAAAAAAAAAACCTTTCATAAACGTACTAATATGTACCTATAATATACTAATATGTTAATTTTACATCAGTGCCTTAAAATGGTTCTCTTAAAGTCAATTATGAGCTATTCATCAACAATCAGGGAATAATCCATGGTAATTCTTGATAAGGACAAACTCCCTCCAGAATATATATATTTTATGTATATAAGTTTATTTAGGCGCTTCTTCCATTTCTAACTACTTGACCCTTGTTTTTTATTTAGTGAGCTCTGTTTCTACTGACACCTGCCGGTCATTATAAAAAGTGTTCGGTGAAGTGGTCAAATATAAAAAATAAAAACTGCATCCTGCATTTCTTTATCCTTTGTTTTACAAGTATGTATATTTTTCCAGACAATATTTTTATAGGATCAAATTTATTTTATTTATTTATTTTAAGTGGACATACTTTTATTATGTACAAGCAGTGGCTCGGTATTAATCAATCAACTACGCTCTTCTTATCGTGCAGCCAATGAAAAGCATCGTTGTTTGCTGTTGTGGTCACGTCTAGTGCGCATGCGCCGTTTACAGCATGATGGGGCATGGAAGGGCAGAGCTTTAATCATAACGGAAACATGAATCTAGCAACACACATATAATGTGTTTTAACTTTTAAATTGGTACGGCAGTCACAGTAATTATTAGAGACAGTAGATTTAAGCATCTAGAAATGTTTCGTCATAGCAAGGGATTCATTACGAAACTCAAGAATTTGAGGTGAGTAATACTGCGCTTGTCAGTTCAGTTGAATTAAACTTCAGTCCTTCGGTGTCAGATATATGCGTGATCCTTTTCAGGCTGTTGTTAGTATTTTAATTGGGATTAATTTATCGTTCAGGTCATTGTTATTAATTGTCATCATGTTTATAGATATAACTTTGGATATTTTTTTTAAATGTATTATGTAATCCTCTGGGAAAAGCTCAGTCATGCTGATTAGTGAGGTCTGTAAGTCTGATGAATGAGGGGGTTGTAGTTTCCAGAGCTCATGGAGGTCGAGAGGCAGCTCTGCTGTAGAGAGAGCACTGCAGTACACAGTGGGACAGAAGATCCAGGGGTTCACTGTTAAACAGGTAAAGAAAAAGTAAACAAATCACGAAAATGCCTATAATGTTTCTATTTCTATTTCTCATCCCACAGTGAAGCAGTCTGAGAGTTTCTATAACCAAGATAAATTCACTGCATTTTACAACCTCGAGTGGTTTTGATTTAGTTAATACTGTAGCCTTACATTCAGAAAAAAAAATGAATTTTTTAAATGAAAAAGTTTATTGAACTTTTAAACAAAATTTTCAAGAAAATCAAAAAAGTTTGTGTATGGTTTTGTTGTTGAGCATCATATTTAATACATCAGGCTTTTATGGCTCAGTTATGATATAGTGAGAATATGGAGCTCGTTCTCAACAAGGACAAAAACACGACAATTTTATTCAGAGGCCCAAGTTCAGCAGAAATATGCAGTTTGCTGCAGTTGCTTTTATTTCTTTGACCAAAAAGTAAGATGAAATTCTTATAGCTTGTAAATCAATGAGATCTTTATAACAGTATAACACTCTATATCACTCTGTATTTCCCAATAATATGTCTTAGTAAGATATTTAAATGTAAATCAGTAAAATTAAACTATCAATTGGACAACAGAAGGCATGTAGTAGATTGTGTACAACAGTTCGTTTTTTTTTTTTTTTTTCAAGTTTTGATCATGTTGATCATTTAGAGGCCTTAGAAATTCATATATCAAATATGATACAGTGGACTTTATAGGGATAATTGTGTTCTAAGCTATTATACTATTACAGTCAGACTAGGAAAAATTTAAGTCACCAGCGATAGTCCTCCAGACGTTTACAGCACTTCTGAAAATGTTTTGTATTTTTCTAGGTAACAGCAGTGCCAGATTTGTTCCTAACAGCCGTTAAACTCTCCCATGATGCCACAGGAGCTCAGTATCTGCATGCAGCCCGAGACGATTCCAACAACCTCTTTAGGTACAGTGTTTGATGGACACAAATGCTTTGAAACATCTGAGGATTTTAAATTGAAACCCATTGTATGCCCCGATGATGTACATATTGTTTTGAGTGTTTGTTCTGCATGTGTTATTATAGTGTGCAGTTTCGTACCACGCCGATGGACAGCACTGGTGTTCCTCACATTCTGGAGCACACCGTTCTGTGTGGATCCCAGCGCTTCCCCTGTAGAGACCCCTTCTTTAAGATGCTCAATCGCTCGCTCTCCACCTTCATGAATGCCTTCACAGGTACTTCCTTCACTGGTGTTTGTGTTTTAAGTGAGTGTATGTGTGTGTGTGATTTGTATTTCTGATTATGTCAATCTCTCTCACCAGCGAGTGATTACACGATGTACCCGTTCTCCACCCAGAATGCCAAAGACTTCCAGAACCTTCTGTCAACAGTTATTTTTTTCTTTTGTGCATTAAATTATCATTTTTGTCATTACATTATAAGCCATTATTTTGGCCATCACAAGTATAACCAAACACACTCTGTAGAATTATAATATACATATAGCAGCAACATAGCAGCCATTATGCCATAGTGTAAAAATAAATATCTGCATAATAATAGTATTAAATATGCATAATGCACACTTCAATATACTGAGTATGTCACTGCATCTGTCCTTTTCTCCTATTAAAAATAGGAGTTACAATGCTACTAGATGCCACTTTTCTATTGATTGAACCTTCTGTCAGTCTATCTGGACGCTGTCTTCTTCCCGTGTCTCAGAGAACTAGACTTCTGGTACAGGCCATGACTCAGAAACATACTGAAATAGTGTATGTTTTCCATGGCACATGAATTGGTTTTGAAAAGGATTTGATGTTTTTTTTTTTAGGCAGGAGGGCTGGAGGCTGGAGCACGAGACCCCCACAGACCCCTCGAGTCGTCTGGTGTTCAAGGGTGTGGTGTTCAATGAGATGAAAGGAGTATTTGTAAGGAAACTCTTCTGTGCTCTTCTGATTTAAAAAAATATATATATATTGGTGATATGCACAGAGATACATGCATGATATATAAGTGACATTATACACTAATGTTCAAAAGTTTGGGGTCAGTGAAGTTTTTTTTTTTTTTTTAATGAAATTATATACTTTTTGTTCAGAAAATAGTGCATTAAATGACTCAAAAGTTAAAGACATTTATAATCTTACAAAATAATTCTGTTTCAAATAAACACTGTTCTTTTGAACATTCTATTCATCAAGGAATCCTGAAAAAATGTATCATGGGTTCCACAAAATATTAAGCAGCACAACTGTTCTTAACATTGATAATGATAATGTTTTAAAATATATTAAAATAGAAATCAGTTATTTTAAATGGTAATCATTTTTCACAATTTTGTTGTTTTTACTGTTTTTGATCAAATAAATTCATATCTTACCAACCCTAAACTTTTGAATGATAGTGTAGGTATCAGCCAATATTATGTTTTCTTAAACTCCCAAATTACTCGCATTGATCTGTTAAACCAAAATCCCAAAAGTTTCCTATATATATTTATATTTGTATATAATATATATCAGCAACATAGCAGCCATTATGCCATAGTGTAAAAATAAATATCTGCATAATAATAGTATTAAATATGCATAATGCACACTTCAATATACTGAATATGTCACTGCATCTGTCCTTTTCTCCTATTAAAAATAGGAGTTACAATGCTACTAGATGCCACTTTTCTATTGATTTGAGTTTTAAGACTAACAGTTTCCTCTGTTACTTTTGTATGTGTTTTTTTGTGTAGTCAGATAATGAGCGTCTGTACGCTCAGCACCTGCAGAATAAACTCCTGCCGGATCACACATACTCTGTTGTGTCCGGAGGGGAACCGCTAGCCATTCCTGACCTGACCTGGGAACAGCTCAAACACTTCCACGCCACACACTACCACCCCAGCAATGCACGGTACACTCTCAGAATCAGTAAAGGACTGTGCAGAAAGCAGACGATGCTCATCATTGCCTGTTGTTTGTGTGTTTTGCAGGTTCTTCACATACGGGGACTTACCGCTGGAGCAGCACCTGCAGCAGATAGAAGAAGAGGCTCTGTCTAAATTCGAGAGAACAGAACCAAACACTGCAGTTCCACCTCAGACACACTGGGACAAACCTGTATGTTTAAACAACACGCACATGAGAATGACTAGTATAATAAACACAGAGAATTAGTGACGGGAGAAATGAAGCTTTTTAAAACTGATTTAGTTGAACCAATTGCTTCGCATAATGATTCACTTTTTTCGCAGCGCTAGAATTTCAAACACGATAGTCTGGCTGTACCCTCTGGACAAAATGAAAATAAATACAACCCCCAAACATGTATAATTACACCTATTACAAACCAGTTTCACGTTTTCAAATATTTAAGACCCTTAAATAAGAAAGCTCCTTGAACTTTGTGGGGGTTTTTTTTTATATTATTTTGTACTGCTTGTTTTGTGTACTATTAGGCAGACAAACTAGGTCAATTAGAAGGAAATAAATATTCTCCTTTTTGTATTATGCATTGCAGACATGAGTATTAAAACTCATTAAATCAATAAAAAACTAACCTATGTTATAATACTGACCCAAGTTCAGGTAAAACCATTGGTGCTTGTTCATAAGTTCACCCAAATCTTTCTAGCGACAAACCCTTCGAATTTCGAAATGTTTCGAAAAGCAAGGTTTGAAACTGTATGACGTAATGAAGCCTCATTTGTTAAAATCACGTGACTTGGCAAGTTTGAACCACTGATTTTAACCAACAGATTCATAAATGTTTTGAAATCAAGGTTTCAAATCACTGATTTGAAACAAAAGATTTGGAAGTGTTTCGAAACCAAGGATTAAAAAAACTAAGATGTAATGAAGCCTTGTTTGCTGAAACCAAGTGACTTGGCAAGTTTAAAAACATGCTCCGAACCACTGATTTGAAACAAAAGGTTCAGAAATGTTGCAAATACCAAGGTTCAAAACAGTTTGACATATTGAAGCCTCATGTGCTGGAATCACGTGACTTGGCAAGTTTAAAACGAGCTCTGAATGTGTGATTCAAAACAAAAGATCCGTAAATGTTTCAAAGCTTCATGAAGCAGTGTTTCGAAAGCGCCCATCACTACAGAAAATGCAACACAATCAGTCCAAACATACTGTAAAAACAGCTTTGTGAGGTTTGTCATGTTTTGTTTTTGTTCAGAGATTGGATCATGTGACTTGCAGGCCTGACGCACTTGCTCCTGATCCCATGAAACAAAACACGCTCTGCATGAGCTATCTGCTGGGAGAGTGAGTGGACAAATATTCACGCAGTTTGTCATTTTTTAAAAATTGTGTTTTAACTGTCTAACTGCTTGTCTGCATGTGTTTCAGCATCACAGACACATTTGAGGCGTTCATTCTGAGCCTCCTCTCCTCTCTGATGATCTCTGGTCCAAACTCTCCCTTCTACAAAGCCCTGATCGAGCCCGAAATCGGTTCTGACTTCTCCTCTTCAGTGGGGTACGTTGTTTGACAAGACTATCAAATCAGTTCATCTTCTTGATTATTGAGAGTGGAGCTTTATAAATGTGTGATTGACGCAGGTTTGACGGCAGCACTAGACAAGCGTCTTTCACCATCGGTCTTCAGGGCATGGCAGAGGACGACACTGAGACGGTCAAACACATCATTGCTCAAAGCATCGATGACATCATTGCGTGAGTGTTGACTGGGTTTTTATTGCTTTAATGCAGTGAGGTGTTTTAAATGAAATCAAGCTTTTCCAGTGCACAGTACAGATGTCTGGATTGACTGAGAATCTGAATTGATGATCAGTTTAGATAAGAGCACCTGCTAAATGAATAAATGTAAATGAATTGCTGTTTCAGAACCGGTTTTGAAGAGGAGCAGATTGAAGCTCTGCTGCATAAAATCGAGATTCAGATGAAACATCAGTCCACCAGCTTTGGTCTAGCTCTCGCTTCAGTGAGTAAACACACCCACTAGTGTTATTTTAGTATCATTGAGAGTTTTTATTAATGTTTTAAATTAGTTTTTATATTTTGTTTTCAATTTGATTTTGAAGTTTTAGTATTTAGTATGAAATTTTATTGTTTGTTTGTTTTTTTGTTTGTTTGTTTTTTTTCTTTGTCTTTTTTTAATGTCTATGTAGTTTTCATAATTTAATTCATTTTTATTTCATTTGTAATTTTAGTTCATTAAGTTAAGCTAAATGAAACCAAGTAATGTTACCTTGGAAACTAGCAAAAATAAAAGTGTGTGTGTATGTGTATATATATGTATTTGTATACATGTGTGTGTGTGTGTGTGTGTGTGTATATATATATAATCTTTTTTTTAAATTAAGTTTTGTTTTTTGTTTTAGTTAACTATAATAACCCTGACACATACACAAAAATGTGTGCTTACATTTTTATTTTATTTTGCACAAGCACTAACTACTAAGCCACAGCTATGATTGTTGTTCTTAAAAATTAAGGAAAACTATTAAAAATGTTTTGATAATTGAAATAAAGCTGAATTAGAATAAAAAAATTAATATTAGATATAAAACTTAATTTTTTAAAATTGAAACTTTAATTTTAAAACTAAAAGTTTTAGTTGAAGCATTAAAAGTCTAAAACAATAAAAGTATTAGAATGTATAATATAAATAAAATAAAACTAAATAATAATAAATAAAAAAAATAAAAAAATAAATAATAATTATTAAAAATAAAAGTAATTACAAATATATAGTTTTTAAATGTTATAGATTTGACCTCCTTTTATTGCTTTAAGGCCTTTAAAAATAAAACCGCCCTTTGTCTTTTTAGTGCCCGCAGCAGTTATTTCTATTTCCACTGCAAATAAAGCAAAATGAGCTCAACAGGAAGCAGACATTTGAGCAGAGCGTGTGCCTCTGGCCCGTATTAGGTCAGTATTCTCCTATGAAAATGGCAACAAGGTTTTAACCTTTAGCTCTGCTGGGTTTTGCTGCAGCATATTGAATTAGAGCAGTCAGATGGATATGGCCAAGCAGATGCACTGCACTTCCTGTCTGTTTGAGTGGCACCTCACTGGCAGAAAACTCTAAATAATAATAATTTTAAAAAAAAATATATATATATATATATTTTTATTTTTATTTTTATTTTTTACATTTTTGGAACATTTACCAGTTTTTTTTATGTATTATTATTATTATTATTATTATTATTTATTTATTTATTTATTTATTTTTTGATAGTTATAAGTTGGTTTTAGGAGATTTTACTAGATATTTGAGGGTAACATTCAAAAACATTTTCACACTTACTAAAAATATAACTTGCAAAATAATAATAATAACATTAACTCTGCCTGTCTGTCCGTCTGTCAGTATATTGCATCCTGTTGGAATCATGACGGTGATCCAGTGCAGCTGTTGAAGATCAGTCAGAATGTGTCCAGATTCCGGCAGTGTTTGAAGGAGAACCCTCGCTACCTCCAGGACAAAGTCCAGCACTATTTTAAGGTAATGAACCCTAAAACTAGAAAACACTGAAAAAATGGACCAAAGAGTTTAAACTAAATAGGAAATGGCAAAACAGAATAATACAATTAAAAAGCAAACTAAATTACAAATGATTGTGGTCATTGTTGGAGTGATTTAGAAAACAGCATTTATAACAAGATGTTTGTTTCATAATTGCAATTTTTTAGTACATGTTTGCTCAATTAAGTAATGTGTTTCAGGATAACACCCATCGACTGACCCTTACCATGAGTCCTGATGAGAGCTTCTTGGAGAAACAGGCTGAAGCTGAGGAACAGAAGCTCCATCAGAAGATACAGAACCTTAGCGATGCAGACCACAAAGACATCTATGAGAAAGGTGTGATCATGAGACCACAGGAAGGACCAGAATAATCAGTCTCCTTCTCTTGTGTAGATGGTTTAATGTCGTTGTTGTTGTTGCTTCAGGTTTGCAGCTGTTGGCCGCTCAGAGCACGGCTCAAGATGCTTCCTGTCTACCTGCATTAAAGGTGTCCGACATCGAGCCGATCATTCCCTACACACCTGTACAGCTGGGAACTGCAGGTGAAATGCACATGCATACATATAACAAGCACATTCAAAGTTAAAATTATAGATGCAAAAAGCTATTTCCTACATTTACTGTCTAGGCGGTGTACCTGTACAGTACTGTGAGCAGCCCACCAACGGCATGGTGTATTTCAGAGCCATGTGCAACCTCAACTCCCTCCCTGAAGACCTGAAGATCTACGTTCCTCTGATCTGCAGCGTCATTACAAAGTATGAAACATTTGTGGTTTATCACTGCTACATACTTTAGCATGGACTATATAATATCCACCAACACTCAATAAGACCAGTCTATGTGAGAATATACTATTTAATGTTTTTTATTATTTAATATTTTTTAAATGTGACGTTAAATGTGACATCCAGCAGTTAGACATTTTTACTTATGAACAGATGCAGTTATATATTCAGTATATGGATGTGTGGATTATGCATATTTGGTACAATATTGGCACATGCAGATAATTATTTTTACACTATGCCGTAATTGCTGCTATGCGGTTTCACATTATAAATCTGTGTTTGTTATACTATTTCTAAATCTAGTTCACAAATCTAGTAAATAACACTTAATAATAATTTAAATGGTTAATAAGTAATGACTTAATATGTAATGCCAAAAGTGTAAAATGCCAGTTGAATTGAATTTTTGTTTTTCAAAGGTTTCTATACATGTACATGCATATATATCTGTGTGTGTGTGGGATTATGTGAATTGGAAACACTTCCTATAATGGTCTAATAAGACCTTTTCAAGTAGTTAGGGAGTTTTTTTTTTTTTTTTTTTAATAAAGGTAACAAAATATTGGCTGCAGCCTACATTACCGTTCAAAAGTTTGGGGTCTGTAAGATTTTGTAAAATGCGTTTGTCTCTTATGCTCAGCAAGGTTGCATTTTTATCAAAAATACTGTACAGAAATGTTGCAATATATTATTACAGTTTAAAGTAATAATAATAAAGTTTTCTATTGTAATATATTTTAAAATGTAATTTATTCCTGTGAAGCAAAGCTGAATTTTCAGCATCATTACTCCAGTCTTCAGTGTCACATGATCCTTCAGAAATCATTCTAATATGCTGATTTGCTGCACAAGAAACATTTCATATTATCAGTGTTAAAAACCATTGTGCTGCTTAATATTTTTGTGGAAACCATGCTACATTTTTTTCGGGATTCTTTGTTGAATAGAAAGATCAAAAGAGCTGCAGTTATTTGAAATGTTGTAACATTATAAATGTCTTAATGTTGCTTTTGATCAGTTTAATGCATGCTTGTCATATAAAAGTATTAATTTTTCAAAAAAAAAAAATTCTTAGGTGTCTAGTATTTTCACCAAAAAGAAAATGGTTTTAAGTCAGATATTTATATTTATAAACTGATATTTCCTACTGACACACTACAGCAAAAGATAGAAATAACTGACTTATTAACTGAACTAACTAACTGAATTTTTTGTTGGTGAAAATACTAGACGCCTGAGACTTTTGCACACTTCTGTGTATATAGTGTGTGTGTGTGTATATATATATATATATATATATAT